GCTAAACTGAGCAAAATGTAATCTTCGTTGATTCAGAAGTTAGCTCCAGTCTCTGTAATGCCTCATGGCCATTGTAAACATTGCTAATTGTATACCACTGGGCATATAAAAGAGGAGGAGGATCAGGCTAGATCTGCTGCAATCAACGCAAGTTACCTTTTTTCAATAACTTTCATAAACATTCTTGTTTACTTTTATTTAACTCTCTTGTAAAAAGATAAGGGTTGGATGTGCTAAAAACAATCCAGTTATTTCACCTGGAAAATCAATTGGACTCCTTGTAACTTGGGAGTACATTTTGCTCATGTCTAGTGTTAATTCTAAGGCTACATATAATAGTTTACTAAAAAGAACATATTTCACCAACTTAAAATGCTTTAAAAAGTCTTATCAGCTGTCATTCTACTTATCTTTGAAGATCTAGACTTTTCATTGGTCAGTTTTGTGGCATACAATAGCAACCTAAAATTGGTCATAGCTCATCTTGTGACTGAATGACAACTAACATGACCCAGGGGAACTTAATTCATGGGCTGTGATGTTAGGACTCAATTTGTGTCACTTCTGTGTGAAATATACTAGGAGAAATGACATACTATAAATCCATAACTCTCTCTCTGAGGTAGGCACTTAGTGGATTGTGGTCTCACAAACTGGGTTTTCAATTAGAAAGATTTGTGGAGGTGGCAGTACTTTATCAGCCAAGAGTGAGAAGTGACATAATTGTAAATCTCAACCCGGCCAAGGCTTTCCCAAAGACAATACAGTGTGGACCAAGGAAGAACCTATGCAATGCGTTCATATTTATAGGCAGAACCTTATCCCATGTTTTGGGATATGTGGCTTAATGGAGGACATTACCATATGTTCTTAATTTTTTCCAAATGTCTATCTTTGAACTTACTTGTATTTGGCTTATGATAGATATTCTTTAACTTTAGCTATGTTTTATACCCCAGGTTCTAAAACATCTTACATCATGAAAATTATTTCTTATGTCAAATTATTTTTGTTTATAGCAGTGTAGAACAGCTGGACATCATCCACAGATGAATTTCTGAAGAGCTTGTTCATTTGTTCATCAATTCATTCACCTGTATTTGCTAGGGTCTAGAATCTCCACAGTGAATAAGGAAGACATGGAACTCACTTTCATGAAGCTGTTACCTTTTCAAGGAGATCAATGCTAAAACTAAAAGATAGCACTCCTGGTCTCCTCACCTCTTTTGCTACCAAAGAGGTTTTGCCTTCCCCATGGACTCGGGCAGATCTCCAGACATTGTTTCACAAGCTCGGGCAGCCTAGTCAGCTGGTGTTTTAATCTGTCAAATGGCCAGGTTCTTTCTTACTTTGGTGATATCCTGTGAGCCTTTTCCTATTTGAGGTTTCTTGTAAGGTTGTTAAACTTAAGACATTGACCTTGATTTAATAATTACCTTTTTAAAATTAACTAATTTTCTACTTTTTAAAAATGGTGCTGCATTAAGTTTGTAACATCAAATTTCTAAAACTCTATGATATGATACCAGAATGGAAACTACGTGATTATAGAGATAGCGATGATGGTTTTTATGATGGGGTCTGTCCTTAAAGTAGGGTTAGGAATATGGGGTAAAAGTGAAATACTGCAGCCAATCATAGGAATTTTGAGTAGGATTGTCATTAGGAAAGTATTTGAAAGGAATGGATTTGGGCAGAGGAGAGAGGAGAGGGCTGCTTCTTAACTCTTAGTCCAATGAGGATCAAAAGGATGCATGGGAGAGTAGGACATTCAGAGTGGATTAGAATAGCAGTTTCTATTTATTAAGCATGTATTATGCAAAACTGTATCTAAACCTTAAGGCAACCCTATGAGGGACCTGAGGTTTAGAGAAGTTAACGAATTAGCCAGGGTCACATGTTCAAGGTTAACTGCCTGGTTGTAGAACTAGGAGTCGAATCAGATGCGTCTTCCTATACAGTCCTGGACATTAGAAATAAAGTTTTCAAAAGGCACTTGTTAGAAATAGACCGGTAACATGACCATTGTAATGGTCCAAATAATACTATGCAAATGGACTAAATTAATAGTCTCTTCCTTCCTCTACAATCATAACCTATAATAAAACCCCAGTGACCAATTTGGTGTTCCTTTATTGCTGATGCAAACATATTCAAATGCATATGCACATTATTTAAGGGGTTATTTTCTTGCCACAACTCTACCAGGCCAGGCTTCACGTTCAGTAGCTCACAACCCTCTAGTTGAGGAAGCCTGTTCTATGCCAATTGCCCTGGTTGTTTTTGAAAGACACCTACGAAAGCAAATTCAAAAAACTCCCCTGGCAGCTTGTTCTGTTATTTAACTTTTGCTCCCAGGAACTTTTTTCCATTTCATTAACCCAGATAATTGTCCTGCAGTCTGAGTCACTTCTTCTTGCTCTGCATATGGGGTTGATGGAGAGCATCTGGTCACCCTGTCAGGTGCAATTTCAACTTAAGAGGATCTGAAAAAAGAAATTCGTGCGGGGAACATTAAAACCTGAAACACTAAATTTAATTTTTTAAAAAGGCATTGAAAACACCTGAAATGTCTTTTTTTTTTTTTAAGTGGCTATAAGAAGTCTGGAAGCAAATTCAGAATTACACAAATTGAAATAATTATTTTTATTGTGACCTGTACTTTTTAATTTTAAGATTTTAGATCTTCTATAAATATATTATATAAGCATAATACACTTAACATTAAAGTCAATTTCCTGATAGCATTTTTTAATGTATAGCCCACACTTGATTTCCAAAACCCCCCAGAAACTGGTACTTCTAATGTATCAATCATTTTAACCAGAGAATGTATAAAAGAAACTTTATTTTATTATCACAAAATATAAATTTCACCAAGAGCATGCCTGTTATCAGGCCATATATTATGTGCTGAATACTTTATATATATACTGTCATATAATCTTCAAGCAAGTTATTAGTCCCATTTTTCAAGTAAGAAAACTGAGTCAGGTTACATGTTTGTCATTCTCACTTGCCAGTGATCAAACCCAGAATTGTTTAGTTAAAAATTTGCTTTAAACACTGTGCTTCACCAAACCAAGGATCATGTGACTTCAGTATAATCTTTTAAACCTGCCAAACAGTGTCTTAACTGCTAGTGACACCAGTGGGAAGCCAGATCAAGTCACTAACTAATCAGTTCCCATCTTTACCCCATTGACCATAGGCCTTTAACAGATTCTATAGGATCAATTTAGAAGGTTAAAATTTAAAAGTTAGATTTTATTTTAGATAAATTTCTGAAAGTTAAATATATTCTTAGTTTAAAATGTATAGAATTATGAGCATCAAAAAATTTTATCAAAATTGAAAATTCCTAAAGGTACATATTAATACTTTGGCAGAACAAAATATGACCTTTTTAAAATTAAAAAGATTTAAGGGGAGCTGAACTATTACCACATAGAACAATGAGGTAGGTATGTTGTATTGTTGTTTTTTTTTTTGTTGTTTTTTTTGTGAATGAGCCAAATTATAAAATCTCAAGGGACAGTATAAGACTTCTCTCATTAAGACACCAATGACAAGTTTGAGGGGATTCTAAAACTACTTTCATAATCAATAGTTTGCTAGACAGAGTCACAGAACTCACTGAAAGCTGTCATACTCGTGGGTTTGGCTTATTACAGGGAAAGGATGCAAGTCTGAACCAGCCAAGGCAAGAGGCACGTGGGGCAGAGTGCAGAAGGCGACCAGATATGGCGCTTCTGGCCACCCGCCTCCCGTGGGGCCTGTGCGGCGTGCGCACAGGGGACTGCCAACCAGGGAAGCTTGCCCAGGCTTGTGGTGTCCGAGTTTTTACTGGGGCTCAACTACAAGCTTCCTGTATGTCTGGCCTTTCCTCTCTAGCCTCTCCTGGGACCTCCAGTTCATACCTTTAATCTCCAGTTCCGCTGAGGTCAGAACTGATATGGTGTGGCTCCAACCCCATCATAAATCACGTTCCCTACACTCAGTGGTCAAAACCTCAGACACACCAAGACACTCTGATCAGCAGGATAATCTGAGGGCCTAGAGATCGCGTCCCAGAAACACAGGGCAACGGCAGACCTCTCAGTGGGTGAGGCTAAATCTTCACTCCACAGAGCAGTGCATTTCATCATCAGTAACACAAGGTCAAACTTGTTACAGGCTTTTGTGGTGGGCAAGGCAAACCTATGCGTTTGTTTAATGTGGCAAGTTTTTATGGTTTAATTTTCAAGTTTCCGTTTCACATATTAGTCATTCAGTGGAAGAACTGATGGAGGCCGTTTGAAGAGTTAGTTTAGGGGCATGTTGACTTTCACTGAATAACTTTGACAGTGGCTCTCAAAATCCAGTGAGCATCAGAGTCACCTGGATGATCCTTACAACACAGATTGCTGGACCGACTTTGAATTTCTGATTCAGCAGGTCCTGGGACACTTCCCCGCCATCCCCCTCTTCCCCCCACCCATCCCAAGAATCTATAACGATTTTCTGGGCTGCACCGATGTTGGCAGCCCAGGAGCCACATTTTGAGAGCCTCTGGACTAGAGTGTGTGATAATGTAGCAGAAGAGAGGAATGGCTGTGCCATTGAGACGGGGAATAAAGGAAGAACAGTTGGAGACAAGGATGTGCTTTCCATGTCCTGTTGACCATAGTGTTTGGGAGTGCTTCACATTTCATGAAATCCCAGGACCCAGAAAAGGAGTTCAGGGAGTGAGTCTAAACACAGTCACCCCGGAGAAGGGCTGTGGGAGTAAATGAGAGTCTGCGTGTGGGGTGTGCAGTGCTCTTTGTGTATTGCTGTACCTGGTGAGACAGTGGTTTGCAGTGGCTTGTGTCAGTGAAGCTTTGTCATAGCAGTGCAGAAACCAGTATCAGTCTTGAACCTATAACACTTTTTTCTTTCCTAGTCTCCCTAGGACTTTTCCTTGTTCCCTTGCTTTTTAAGTTCCATAACTCTCTGTCTCTTCCTTTTCCCCGCCTTAGGCCATGTTCAGTCTTTGTATGGTGGAAAGTGGAGCTGATGAGGTGAATTTGCATGGTGTGACCAGCCTTGGCTTAAAGCAGGCTCTGGAGTTCGCATACACAGGACAGGTATGGTACAGGGCATCTAAGAGGCCAAACATGTTAACTGTAGCTAATCAGAGGAGATTCTCCTTGAGGCAGGAGACTTCATTATTTTTCTTGTTATGCATCTCGATGTTTTAACAAATTTTCACATCTTTAATTTTATAGCTACATGATGGAAAGGTAAGTAAAGCACTGTGATTTTTAAATAGGACCCAGGGAACATAATATTTTCATCTTAGCTCAGTGGTTTGTTGGTATAATTTTAAAACATCCTAAAGGACTATTATACGGGAGTTTGCAAGATAACTTGAATTCTTGTTATCACTGAAGCTCAGTGATTCAGTTTTGGCTTAAAAACAAAACCCCCTTCACCCCCCAAAAAAGTAAAGCCTTGAAAGGCTATGTCTAGCATCTTGGCACCCTGTCCTCTTCAAATATCTCAGAGTTAAGGTGTCAAGATTAGAATGTGATGGTTTAAAAGGCAAAATTGTTCATTACTGAAATTGTTGTGGAACTAACATGTATCTCCAGAGAACAATTTCTCTCTCTCTCTCTCTTTCTCTCTCTCTCTCTCTCTCTCTCTCTCTCTCTCCCTCCCTCTCTCTCTCTCTCTCTCTCCCTCCCTCTCTCTCTCTCTCTCTCTTCCCCCCTTTCCCTCCCTCCCTCCCTCCTTCCCTCCCTCTCTCCCTCTCGAATACAAGAGCCATGTTAGTGTACAGCCATCAACAAATCAAAATAAAACTGCATAAAGACAATATGATTCATATCTCAAGCTTTGTGGTTCTTAGCTACTAGAAGTTTTAAGTTAGTGAAACAATTATACAGTAAGGCAGCCATATCCTATTTCTTAGAAGGCATATGCTCATATCCCACTTTTACAGTATGAGGAGAAAGAAAGCCAAATGTGAAAAATATATAGTTAGATATTTGGTATTAGTGCTTAAAAAGAAAGAAAGAAAAAAAGAAAAAGAAAAAGAAAAGCAAATCCTAGGGCCAGATTTGAAGTTGCATTTATTCTGCCCAATGACTCATTGTTGACCACCCACAGAAGGGTGAGAAGGCTGCAGCACAGGTCTATAATAATAAAAGCGTACGATGCTAATTAGGCCAGACATCCTTCCAAATAACCTTCTGGATGAAGCCAAGGCTGCAAAGGAAGCCTGGGTCCCGGGTGCCAGAGGGAAGCCAGTGCCAGCAGCCGGGGGAAGGAAGGCCTACTCTTGCATGAATTTCGTGCATTAGGCCTCTAGTGCGGTAATAACTCCACTGTTCAGATCATGTACTGAGGGGACAGGTAGGGGGCTGGCATTTCATAGGGCACCTCCTACAAGAGCCAAGGCACTGCCCTGAGCACTTTCTGTGTGCTGTTTACCCAGCCTTCTTGACAGCCCCTGGGAATGCAGCGATCGCATCATAACCTGACCAGCCCAGGAAGCGCGGTGAATGACTGATGCCATTCTCCAGTGCATGGTGATCTATGAGTCAAACCCAGTTCTCTTCCCTTCACAGCCATTGTTCTGCCTTAATGTGCTGTGTCATTAGAAAATGTTAAGTCATATTTGTTATACTTTGGTGAAGGAGGTAAAGTATTTAGACATTTTAGAAATTGAACCCTTTTTAAAAATATATATTTTATTGATTTTTTTTTTACAGAGAGGAAGGAAGAGGGATAGAGAGCTAGAAACATTGACCAGCTGCCTCCTACACACCCCCCTCTGGGGATGTGCCTGCAACCAATGTACATGCCCTTGATCGGAATTGAACCTGGGACCCTTCAGTCCTCAGACCGACGCTCTATCCAGACCGACACTCTGAGCCAAACCAGTTTTTGGCAAGTGAACTCTTTTTATAAAAAAATATATATTTGTATTGATTTCAGAAAAGAAGAGAGAGGGAGAGAGATAGAAACATCAATAAAAGAGAATCATTGTTTGGCTGCCTCCTGCATGCCACCAACTGGGGATCAAGCCAGCATGTTCCCAGGCGGGGAATCAAACCCTGACACCTGGTTCATAGGTCAGTGCTCAACCACTGAGCCACACTGGCCAGACAAAAGCGTGAACTGTTTGGATGGTTCTCTCAACCTGGGCACCTTTCCAACATCAGCTCACAAGGGCCCGAGATGCTGCTCTGTACTCTGTATGTGATTCTTTGCTGCAGAGTGGAGGTTGCTGTAGTGTTCCTTGGACAATATCTATGGCAGTGTGGGTTCTTAAACACCCAAATGACTATATATAATAAAGCTGTCTTCCCTTTGAGACCTGGACACAGATGATGGCAAAAAGTGAAATTAGAGTATGCTTAGGAAATATAAAAAGCTACTTTCTCTTACTATGAATTGAAATTAACCCTGAGCAAAGAATTCAGAATATGAAAATGTGAATAAATTCATACTTTTTCAAATTGTTAATTGTTTTTTACTATTGTGAACATTATGCACAGTAAAATGTTATTAGACTTGTAAAAATCTGGGATAACGTTGAATTTCTCTAACTATAGCATTTCTCCTGACAGTTGAGTAGACATTTAGTCAGTTGTAGTAAGCACAGTATAAAATGTAAGTATTTCTAGTGTCTGGAAATGGTTGCTGTATTGGGAGAGATGTGGCAATATAGAGGGGGTGTGATGAATGAATGTCGCCAAGTGTAGCAAGATGTGTGCATGTTCCTCCTACACACTGCTTTACAGCCTAGCCTCTTAAAATTGGTCACAGGTTTCATCTAGGAGGTTTTAAAGAAAAAGTGAGCTTTTCCCCCAATGCTAATTCATCCTCTGAAAATGCATGCACTTTTCTTATCACTGGGCTGAGCAAGCACACACTCTGCCTTTGCACTAATTAGGGGCACGCCCTCTCTGTGGGAACACCCTGCTTGGGACACAGGTTGAGCAGAGTGTGCATTGCAACCCCCATGGTGACCTTGCACAGCCATACCCAGCAGAGCCAGCCACTGGGGGCAGAGGACACAGGGCAGGCCCTGTGCTAAGCTGGCCCTGGGAGCTAGGCCAAAAGCAAATGGTGTGATGTGAACTGTCACTGGGCAGATCTGCCTTAGGGAGAAAGGTGAACCTAAAAGCACCCACAAGCTCTCACTTAATTCTTGTGGGCAAGAGGACCCTGTTACCCTGGCCTCCCTCAATCTCTTCACTTTCCAACTCTGGCCAAGAATTAATTCATGTTTGGGACCAGCCCTGAGTAGAAGAGACACCTGGAAGAAGGGGGCAAAAGGGATTCTGATGGAGATGTGGCCCAGGAGGAGAAATCCTAGAAACTGGTCAGCAAGCAGAGGTTGATAAGAAAGCCCAGCCAGACTGTGAGGAGTAGGTGAACAGAGACGAGATCCTTTTATATAGAGAAAGGAGCACTACTCCGAACGGGGGAGGACTTCCAGCCCCAAAGGACTTGGGATAAGTCTCTAGGAATTTGAGTTACTGGCCCAGAATGGAAGCCGGAAGGTCTGAGAACCACAATGAGGTTCACGTGTAGCACGCTGGCTATGAGGACACCAAGGGAGAGAGATTGTATGCCAAGTACTGTGCTAAGTACCTCCCATTAAACCTAGTTAGCTTCTCCTTACTTCCCGGAGAACTGCCCTCCTGTCCCATCCCTTATAGTCTGATGGAGAGATTCCAGAAACCCAGTAAAGAGGAACTACGTACTGATAGTGACGTTTGTAGTCCCTTTAAAATGTCCCACCTCCAGAGAATGCTGGCTTGGTCAGCCATGAACAGCTGTGCGGTCTCTGAGCAACTAAAGAAAAATGTTTCTTTGGTATCTCTATTCCCTTGCTTCCTCTTCATTATCCAGTTACTCCTTCCACGTGATGGAAGAACCAGTCTCTGTGGGAGCATCCCTCCTAATTGGCTTTCCCTAATCCAGAGAAGGATGCTTTAGCACCATCTTCACAGAGCTATTTTGTGTAACCATTAATGTTACTGTTTGAAGTCTTTGGAACTCCAAACAAGTGTGGTACTCTATGAAGTGAAAACAACTTTTTTTTTTAAAGCTATAATTTTGGACATGTTAAAATGCTCATGAAATCCAAAACTAAAGAAAACTGCCTCTTAATTTTCCATGGTCTTACATTATAACGTTTTTCTTCATGATTCTCAGTTGATTCCCTAATACATTCCACATGGTTTTTTTGTAGTTAGCTCTGATAAGGCAAATACTGTCGCACTGCATTTTGATGATCATTGAAACGGTATTTATTCTCCAGAGCAGAATACTTCTCCTTGGAGACCTGAGCATCAGACCCGGCTGCAGAGTGACAGGAAACTTGATGAGAACTGTCTTCCCGTGGACCATCCCTTTAGGGATAGATGTGTCGCTTTGCATGGAAAAGGTCCCCATCAGACTTACTTATAAACATAACTGGCTGCAATAAATGGTTGACATGGAACAAATCTGGAAGAGAATTTTCTTAAATGCTTTTCTTGGGAGCAGTGTTAAGATAGTCAGTGGTTAAACATTTTAGCTGCAGAGTCCTTTCTTCACCCGGCAGTACCTGCAGGTTCTCTCTCATTAAATCTGCATGTGCTGTCTGCTCACTGTGTACCCAGGGTGTAGTTTATCCTGCAGGGATTATAAATCTATCTGCTTAGCGCTTCAATGTCTGGAATATCTCTGTGGGAGGAAGTGTAACTGTGGCCAAACTGCTGACATCAGCTTTCCAATCTGGTAATAAATCCGCTATTTTGGTTAAGGTCATGTTTCCTAGATTTTCCCTAACAATCTACAAGGCTCCCAAGCAGGTCCAGAATGGCCTGAAAGGGAATGTAGGGGTGAGTGGCTTCAGCATTCATTCTGGTTATGGGGTGGAGCTGAAGGTTCTCCACAAAGGCAGGGACTTCCATGGTTTGAACCTCCCACCAGTGCGGAGGCAGATACTTGGACTTCCCTGTGCTTTTCCCCAGGTGTGGGGCCAGCAGGGAAGAGGGAGAGGCAGAGCTTCAAAACTGTCAGCTGTCACACATCCAGAATGCAGTCAGACTCTCTCCCATTAGTTTGGTATTCTCCTTGAGTA